CACAAGTATAAAGGCACACGTTCAGGGTCTTAGGGAGTTAAGACGCTAGCATTTTTTATTTAAGTCCTGACATGGTATTTTTTAGAGACAGGGGCATTTTTTTTTTTTGCACAGAGAAAATTCAGAAAAGACTGTTTCTGGTAAGTTCTACAAAAAGACACCGTCGCTGTTATTTACCAAATAACAATATTACTGTGTTTTCATTAAAATGTTGTCGGTTCGTTAACATATTTAAAATATTCTCAATTCACGTTTTACCACTATTTTAACTGTTTTTTTTTTTAATGTAAGAAAATTAAATTATAGAAAATAATATCATTATGATATTGGGCAAACAAATAAGATAATATTGGAAAATATATTTTCACATTACTTAACCGCAACATTTTGTCAACAACCATTCATCTCCTACCAAACAAACTTTGTGATAGCTTTTTGAAAACATTTATATGGGGTTTTTATTTTTGGATTGCTCTTCTTGGAGTCAGTGAGTGTATTTTTGAACTCATTCTAAAATATTATGATCACAATAATGTTAACTATAATTATGTGGTTTTTTTTTTTTATTAAACTTTTATTCAACTTCGACATTGGTTACAGAATCAGAATTATTACATTGATCAACGATAAATATTATTTACTATACTTTATTCTATTATGTTATATAATACTATTTGCAAATCATTATTTTTTTTTGTACAAATCGTTTTTTTTTTTTAAGAATTGTAACATTTTGTACACATATTTGTTTTATGATTGTCAACACTATGAATATTATGAAACGAAAAACACCAATGACCCGAATCAATATTATTATGCTTGTTGATTTAGTAAAAGAGCAACCTAATACAAAGGATTAATACTGATCGCATACACTGATCTAGTTGGAAAATATACATTTTCATAAATAATAATCTGGTGGTTGGACGCATTAATCTGATTCGAATAGGTTAAACAAATACAGACACCCTCCTCCCTCATCCCGTCCAAGTCCCCAAAATAATCCCCGAGACACTGTTTTCGAAGAATTCCACGCCGGGATGTTTAAAAAAAAAAAAAAAAATATATGTCCAAGTACGACGCTGTATTATGTCTGCGGTTTGAATTACTTTCGAAGAAAACTCTAATAATAATTATTGCACTGTTGTTGTGTGGATACAGTGAATCACTATCGGTAAAGCATACAACGTTGTGTATAAAATACACGTTATGTACCACACATACACACACACACAGGGGGGGAGTAGAGGGCACAGGGGAGACAGGGGTTGTGTGACCCAGTATTCGAAAAGTATAGCGTTGTTTGATCAATGGGCGAATCGGTTGTCAAGTCCGGGTGAAAGGGCGACCGAGGAAGAACGTCGACGGTGACGTCCGACCGAAGCATAGTACACAAGCTATTTAGACGGCTAAAAAATACAACAAAAAATGCAGTAATATCCGTGTCGTTCGTGAAAACAATAATAATAATAATTATACGTTACTCCGCCGAAAAAAAAACGTTTTGTTTTATCGTGCCCCGACGATGCGGCAACCCTTCTTGAGTGCGTGTAACAATAGTAATTTGTTTGTGTTTTGGTAACGATAATTTTATACAAACACACACACACACACACACAAAAAAACAGCATCGCATGGGGGTGGGGTCGATGGGGTGTTAGGGTGTGCATGACGAATTAGTCGCGGTTCACGGAGCAAACAAAACGTTTAGCCGAAATTATAATATTATTATTATACATTGTATTTAAAAAATCGGTTAATCGGATAGCATAGCGTGTTTAGAACAATACGAACGGGGTAAAAAAAATACATCATTTGTATACCTTTAAGGTCTAATCCGCAATAGAGTAGTCGTCGACCGTAGCGGGTATATAATGTTAGACTAATATTTAAAACGCGTTTAGAGCTGTTGACATAGTGCCAAACCGACGGGAGGTGCACAAAAAATTCAAATAATATATGTACATATATTATACACCTATTAATTGGGTAAATAGTTGGATAGTTTTGGAGTATACGAATGTAGTAGATCCGGTACCTTTTTGCAAATTTCATTTGGGTTGTTGACATGTGTTGGATGCTACTTAGTCTGCTTAGAGTGCAGATGAGGGCGTTGGTTTTTTTTAATGTTTTTCTTTTTTGTTTATACTTGTGATATAGCAAAGCTCCAGCTGTATATAAATATGCAACAGATTGATGGTGGTCTTAGAATTGTTTCTTCTTCTTTGTAAATTATAAAAAGTTCCCAATACACTGTCTGCGTTGTGGAACCGTGGGTGTAAATTTTTGTGTCGACTTTGAACTGATCGAGTTCAGTGTTATTTGGTACTGGTATTTTGAAAAAGTATTTTAAGTACTATTTACTTGTAAACGGTCAGCATGGCGTCCGAACACTATACTGATTTGGATAGTGAAAAATGCTTTTGATGAAATGCAATATAATACGTCTTAATCAAACACTGTTTATGGCGTTTAATTGGAATAGATAACACCGTACTTGTGTAAGAGGAGAAAAAAATAGAAAAGTATTGAGCAGCAGTTAACTCAGTGTATTTATTAATAAACGTGGAAACACAATAACTTGGAATGACTTATATATTATATTATAGCAATTTTATATTCCAACTACAATGTATCTCAATAATTGTATCATATAATTTTCCATAAAAGTATACTCACTTTTTAACCGTCACCTAATTATTATATTATAACATTGTACAGAATTAAATATTTCTATAAATTATTATGTTTGCACTAAAGAAATCATTTTATTCTAAGTTGATGTATTTCAGTTATAAGATTTACATTAAAATATAATTTTTAATTTATATAAAACATCATCAGTTTAAATTTCATTCATTAATAATTTTCCTGCATAATAACTTATTGGCTTATACAAAATATTGTCATTCCAAGTAATTTTTTTCAAACATATTACAATTCAAGATATTATTAGTCTTTAACCAAAAAAAATATAAATACATGATATATTGAATATTTTATTGTAAATTTCCATCGTAGTACTAAAAAATAAAAATAAAAATTTGTCACAAATTATTTGTGTAAACTGATTAATAGTCTTACAACCTTAATAATATTAACAAAATAATACCTAGTATAATTTTTTAAGAAATGTGAAATTTATTAACTTTTAAAACAAATATTTGATGAGGTAAAATACACAACTGGTCTAGATATTTGCCATTTACCGTTCGAAACAATACACAAATCCCTTGCTGGTTATTTGTATTAAAATAAATGGAAATAGTGAAACTGTGAATATGTAAACTCAACCCTTATATTATTTAATACATTTTTATTTCAAGGGCACTCAAAATCATCGCATAGGCTCCCCCTTTGTACTTGGCACTTTTAATAGGCTACTTGTCGAAGATGTACGTTTCAAAACTCATACAAATATATTTTGTTCGAAACTTGTTGTCACATAAAAAAAAATTGGAAATATTGAACTGAATTTGACTTGCTTGTAAGCTCAAAAAGTAAAAATTATGAATCAGTAATGATTATATAAACAGAATTATACTTATAACCAAGTAATGGAAATAGTTTTTAAACAACTCCATTTTTTTGAACATAAGAAATCGCAAGCTTTTTCAAGTTTTGGTCTTATATAAGATCCTTGGCCAATCTTTATATATATATATATATATGAACCATTTGTCTTATGAAGAAATTGGTTCTGTAATTTTAAAAATAATCGTGTGTCCGAATCAGAAACCATAAAACCAATTCTATTATTCTCGAATTTATGCTTAGGGAAAAAAAATATCCATAGGTCATCAGATGTGTTGAGGTCTGAATAATTAGTTGTTATTGAAAACTAAATTTCGAAAATATGCTAATAAGATTGGTATAAACACAGTGTTGAGAAATATTATTTAAGTGTTATTCACATTAGTTATCTCTGATGAACAATATTTTTATATCTATCTATCCATCCGAATAAAATCAATAAAAATTTGTATAAAGGAAACAAAATCATAATTGTATTCGTTTAAACACAAAACGGTATTTTGTTTCAACAAGTCATTATTTTTCTGTCATTTTATACGAAAATCGTTTGATTTGTTACACAAATTTGTTACATTTATACTCTAAACTATACTTTGTATTTATTTTCAGCAAGTGTTGATTTTAGCTCGTATTGGTAAATTTTTACTTGAATTTTCTGTTTTTTTCTATGTAGATTTAATAATAGATTTTCTATTATACGGGCAATTTTTAAATAACCATCAGCGTTTTATCTAAATTGTTTTTTTTTATCCACATGTTTTACAATTATTATTATTTATTTATCTACGAAAGCAGTGTAGATAAATAACTATCGATCATTATTTTTTTTTTTGTCCTTAACTAGACAGTATTTTTAGTAATACCGATACCGTTTGAAACATCAAGTATAACAGTTTTGTTTTTCAAGTTATTCCCTATTGATATTTTATGTAGAATTTTTTTTTTTTTTTTTTAATAAATGCAATCGCCAAACAAATTGTTATAATTTTTTTTTTTTTTCTAAGTATTGTGCTTATTGGATATTAATTGTACAAAAAAAAAAATGGTATTTTTTTTTAGTATCTAGTCGAGCAACCGGCCCGGTCGATTTGCTACGGATTGGCTAACATAACGCAACCGATATTACTATAATATTATGTACAAAGTGTGGCAGGGGTAACAGGGAACAGGGTACTGCTGTTGGCGTTCCAAACGAATAGTGTTGCTATTATGTTGATGTTATTATAAACATTTACAAGTGTACATAATAGTAATATACAAACGAGAGGTCGGTTGATAGGGAAAACCGTCATAGGCTCCAACCGAAATCAGGTAGGGGCGGATTCTTCGTTATCGAACTGCGGCCGTCGCGTACACCGTGTTCTGTTTGCTGTCAAACGGTCTGTGCCCGGTGCGGCTCGTGACGTCTGTTATTCGTTTGGAACCAAACAGGATAAAAAAAAAATTTACCACAACACAGTATCAATCGTGACGGTGACCGATCGTGTGCTTTGGTCGTCATTGCAGTGTTTGGGTTGTAATTGAAAAAAAAAAAAAAAATTAAAAATAACACTTACTTAATCGTTTTCCACACGCCGTCCAACCGTTCCAACGTCTGCTGCCTGGTCCACTGTCATGTCAACTCCTCGAACGGCTTGCCGGTGATTTCGACACCTCTCCGGGTAAAGGTAAGTACACGAGGTTAGCTATACGTACCCCCCCCCCACCCCCCATAGCAATACAAATCTAATAGAAAAATTAGAGAAAAAAAAATTAGATTAGACGGATTAGTTCAGGCGAGGGGTTCAGGCGAAGCACTAAACATATAAACCGAGCACAGTCCAAATCCAAGTATACAAAACGGTTAGGTTAGGTCATATCGGTACAAAGCATAGTGGTTTTACAGCCAAAATATAAAACCGATTGAACAATTCCAGTCTGTGGCCGCCACAGTGTTGTGAAAACGTCCAACGGAATCCGATAGAGCGACGACCCTACTTGCTGGCGTGTAAAGGCGTTCTGCTACTATCAAAAAAAAAACTCATAAAAATCTTAATATAAATATAATATATATATATATATATATATATATTTAGCCCCGAATATTGAACCTCAGACGAACAGGTTTACCGTACAACTTTATGAACCAGAAATAAACCGAATACACTAATACAACCAAAACTCTAAACAAATAAAAAAACAATTATTGAAATAACAAGTTTTAATACCACAACGAAAAATTTGTTTTTTTAACAGCTTTGTTATACCAATAATTAGATAACATCATAGTATTTATTTAAATATTTACCACTTTAATTGAATTAGAACGTTACAAAAATGTAAGGTTCCGACCACCTGACAAAGCATTTATAAACTTGTGAAAATTATTGCCAGGCAAGGGAAATTGTAAGCGAACAGGGTTTAATGTAATAATGCAGACCATCCGTTATAAACGGTCGACCAAAAAGCAAGACATACATTTTTTTTTTTTTAATTTACTCTATTTAATTGTGTGATACGTTATCGATACATCTATTGTTGTGATTTATTCGTGGCCGAGTTGAGATGACTCGAGGTCGCGGTTGTTTAATTTCCGTGGGTCCAGCGAGGGTTATTATCTGGCTGGAGGTCTCTGAACCGTGTTGTGTTCACCAAAAAAACACCCATCGCGGTATTCTATTATTGCAATTGGGTTATAGGCAAGTGGACGAGTACACTTGGCTAAGTTTCCAAAAGAGTGGGTCGGAGGTCAGTTATAATAACGGCGGCGGTCAAAGTATATGATGTCTGGGGCTTTTTTGTTTGTTTGAGCTGGTGGCAGTTTTTACCCTGTTGTTTGCTATTGCCATAAAAAAATACACTTGTCTGTCCGGGCGTAGTGACGACAGAAAACAAAACGTGATTTAATGACCAAACGCGTTTTGTATTGATGATGATAAACAGGCGCATCTATGGCAACGGGCCACTGCGATGATGTCTCAAAAGCACAAGGTGAACGACTAAAAACCACGTAAGCCACCCCGCTTTACTTGTCATCGTAAAGTTCTACAACAACCGTGTCTAGACTTTGGTCTTGCGACTGGGCTACAGAATATTTTCTACAAAAAAAAAAAAAAAACTGAAAATCCAATTAGGTTTGACCGAAAGAATATTATCACCGCGTCACCCAAAACTTTCACATACAATTAAGGGTTTTTTATGGAAAATATATTGCGAAATGCATTCAACGGTTCACAATACCAATACCGAGAATAACAGCCGTCAATAGTGGTATTTTGTAAGTAGAACGGTTTAAAATATATTCAGCTGTTTTTGACAACGTCAAGCATTTTTTTTTTTTGTTCACGAAAAGCACTTAATATTTTAGCTTTTATATGAAAAGCTGAGACGGCACACATATTAAGATTCTAGTTTTCATATTTCAGACATTTTTTCAAAATTAATTTTAACGTTTGCAGATTTTGTAAAGGCGAGGGTTTTTTTTTATTATCCTTTAACGAACAATATTATGACTCAACAGTTACAAACAGCTTATAAATTATTATGTAGAAGTCAATTGAATACATAAATAGAAAAAGAAATTTATGAATATAAATAGAATAAGAAACATACAATGTTTATAATATTTAAATGTAAATTAAATTTGCACAGTTCATTTTACTTCAACCATACAATTTGATTTGAGGAAATAAAAAATGACACGTTTATTAGGCAATTTATTGCGAAGGTTAAGTTTTGTAAAAACACCATTTAGATAAGATCTTAACCAATTCAACACAAAAATCATTTGCCGATAATACGCTTCTTGAGTTATTTCTGGCAGATGATGTATGCTATTTTAATTTATTTTAAACATGCAATATTATGGTCATACTATAGAATTCCAATTAAAAAAAACCTGTGACAATTGATGTTATTTTACTATTTTTTTTTATTAAATATTAAATACAAATATTTTTACTACAGTTGGTGGCGTTCAAATCGTAATGGCTATGGTTAGCTGTTGATCGACCGATGGCCAACATGGAATACACTTGGACTCTTTTGTCCAACTCGGACGACCAGGGACTCGGCAACGACTCCAATCTGCTGAACTGTAACGTCCAGGATTCACACCCAGGCCAAATCCTAATACTGTCAAACGAGCCGAACGCCCAGCCCATGCCGAGCCCTTCCATCAGCGACATGCCTAATCCTCTGGACAAAGATTACGGGACGACCCGGATGCACAACGCCGAGCCGAGGAAGCTCCATCTCATGCACAGTAAATAATTAATCCGAGTTATCACAAAAAAAAATATAGTGTAAACGTTTTGCTTGTATCAATTAACAGGCAGAAGCGATTTTGTCGGTGGCATAGACCACGAAGCGTTGGATTTCAGTCATTTGACAGACGAGTTCATTCAAAACAACAACGCCGAAGCCAACCAGTAAGTCGCCCGCGGTCGATTAAACATTGCACAGTCTGCCAATTCTTTATGTTTAAAATAAATACATGGATTCAAAAACGTTTTTCCACTAGATTTTTTCACGAATCCGTCGATCAAAGCGACCACGTGATGGTCAGAATAAACAATCCGTACCAGCAACCACCTCAACTGTTTTTAAAAAACACATCGTCCATTCCACCGGTCGTGGAATTGCCGTTCGACGGCACCACCGTGTTACCAATTACCGGTTTATCCAACAAACCTGCCAAAGACCATAAACCGCAAGCTACTACTTATGCTACTAACAGGTAAAAACGTTTGTAGTTTTTTTTTCTTTGTTCTTAACTGATGAATCGATCCAAGCTAACGTTTTGTGTTCTAAGACACAGTTTACCGGAAAGCCCGCCTGACTCCGAGCCTCCTTATTCTCCAGCCGACGGCGTCGGACAGTCGCCACGTGAGTTTATCAATTATTTAATTCATTCATTTAGGCTTGGTTTTATTCGTTCAATATTTCGTTTTCAGATCGTAAGACACCGAATTTGCAGTGCCTCATGTCGTCAAATACCAAATCTCAACTGTCCATGAACTCTGTACCGCCCGCCGGACTTTACCAGAAGCAGCAACCGATCGTCAATAAACTACCTCATCCGCTTTCGGTCCAACCGATGCTGATAAATCAACCAGGAACTTCGTCGCATGTCACTCATCTAGGTATAGGAAACGTTAAATATCCATAACCATACAACTTTGAACCTACATGTCAAAAGTTACCTGTGCACGACTTCAGTTTAATCCGACTTGTCGTAACTTTGCTTATTATTTTACTATATTTTATTTAATGATCCTATTTACAAAAACAATATCACCACAGATTAGATAAACCCAGATGGCGCACTTCCTATTCAAGCAATGTAATTCCTTAAAATGTTATCAAACCAAAACCCTTTTTAAATATGGTCGTACGTATCCCAGGAGGGGGCCCGTTATCAGTAAATGCCGTAGTGCACTATCTGGTTTTATCTAATCTGTGATATTACTATGATGTTGCCGTGCAGGTTTCGACCAGATGCCTTCCAGCGCAAGAGACGTTGAAATTCAAGACGTTGAGTATGCCGACCTGATAGGTAACGCCGAGAAAAAACGAAAGTTGTGTCCCGACGCCGGCAGTTCGGTTCGGGTGAAAAAAGAATCTGGTGGGTTTTGTAGACTTTTTTTAGTTAAGTACTTTCGTTGACTGATCGTGTGTGTTGTCACAGAATCCGGCGGCAAAAAAGTCATTACCCACGTGTCGCCTTCGGGTCGGTCGGTGTGCAGCGAAGACAGTTACACTTACCAAGATAGCTGCGAGTCAGGATTGTACGCGGACACCAGTTTCCAGTGCATACGTTTCCAGCCGTTCCAGGAGTCTTCGTGGAACATCCTTTGCGACCACTCCTTGAAGGAACTGTTAGTAAAGATAGGGTTTGGTTGTTTTCCATGGACGGACACTACACGCTTAACGACTTACTTGTTTCAGGCCAATGCCACATTACAGAGTGGACGCGGACAAAGGTTTTAACTTTTCCAACATTGACGACGCGTTTGTGTGCCAGAAGAAAAATCATTTCCAAGTGCGTTTCGTCAGCTGGGCTTGTCCAAAAACAATTTCGAACTATTTTTTTGTGTGTTTTTAGATTACATGTCACACGCAGCTCCAAGGCGACGCGCAGTTTGTGAGGACCGCCGAAGGCATACACAAGGTGGGCAGTTTTCAGTTGCACTTTTACGGTGTCAAAGTCGAATCGCCCAGTCAGACCATCAAAGTGGAACAGTCTCAGAGCGACCGGAGCAAGAAAGCGTTTCACCCAGTCTTGTGAGTCAACATGATTATAACAAAATGGCGTGATCTTGTTTGCATTGGGAAAACAAAACGTTCTGCCGTGATTTCAGGTTGGATTTGCGCGAGGAACAGGTGTCCAAAGTGACGGTGGGCCGGTTACATTTTAGCGAGACCACGTGCAACAACATGCGGAAAAAAGGCAAACCCAATCCGGACCAGCGGTACTTTTACCTGGTGGTCGGCCTGCACGCGCACTGCATCAACGACCATGACTATCCGATCATTTCGTACGCTTCCGAAAGGATAATTGTCAGGGTAATCCAAGTAATTACAATATTATAATGATTGTTCGCATGCCGTTCGTATCGTGGCACAGACGGAATTAGTGTAGCTGGTCCAGAGATGTTGATATCGGTTTTTTTTTGTGCTCCTTAAAGGCTTCGAATCCTGGCCAGTTCGAGAGTGACGCCGAACTCTGTTGGCAACGCGGCACAACTCCCGAATCGATAGTGCACACTGGCAAAGTTGGCATCAACACTGATCGGCCGGATGAGTCTTTGGTCATACACGGCAATGTCAAGCTCACCGGACACATAATCCAACCGTCGGACGTCAGGATCAAACAGGACATACAAAGAGTACGGTTAAAAAATATCGACGTTGGTCGGTATTATAATAACAGCCCTTAGTATAATATGTCTGATTTATATATTTGTACAAAAAACAAATTGCAATCATAGCATGAGTACACAATCAAAACCCTAAGAACTCAGCTATGTTAGTATTTATTTAGGTAGAGATAATGGACATTTTTGTTCCTGTTTTTTTTTTTGTCATCAAATTTTCTTCATGTTTAAAAAATCTAATCGACCATTTGTATCATGACGTAGTGCGATACAAGCGAACAGCTTAAGAACGTGCAAAAGATCAACGTCGTGCAGTTCAGTTACAAGCCGGAGTTTTCGTCCATGTTTGGACTATCTTTGGAACAAGACACCGGGATCATTGCCCAAGAAGTCCAAGCCGTTTTGCCGGAAGCAGTGACTAACACCGGAGAAGTATCGCTATCCAACGGTGACGTGTACGACGATTTCCTCGTCGTTAACAAAGTAAAGTAACCGTATGGGGATGCATTGTGTGCATGTCGTTGCTCATAAGTTGTACATTATAATATAGGATCGGATATTTATGGAGAACGTGGGTGCCGTAAAAGAGCTGAGCAAGATCACCAGTCATCTGGAAGCTAGGATATGCAAGCTGGAGCAAAACAACAAGCTGCGTTCTCCACCAAAAAAAAAAGTTGTCATAGCAATGTCGGATTTGTCAGGTTAGTATTTGTTCACATCACAAATAATCGTTAACTGTTTTCACACTGTGTTCTGTTCGGTAGCTGCGAAATGTTCGGAAAAGTTGAGCAACGCTTCCGGAGAAAACCCCGCAAAGGATTTGACGAGCCACACGAGTAGCTACTGGTCAGACCTTTTCGTAAAATTCGCCTTGGTAACTCTAAGTATTGTTATAGCCTGTTGGTAAGTGATGTCGAACAATATAACTTACAGTTTGAGCAAAAGAATAGTACTATAATATATGTTATGTTTACATTATTTGTTTCAGCTTGATAAGTATTTTATACTTGGTTTTCACGGAAAATTATTACAGCAAAAATCCAACACCAAGTTCAAAGAAAAACGTTGTGTAAGTGTCGTCTCGCGGCCATGATTTCATTATAACATCAAGAAAATACATTATTTATTTGGGTTTTCCAGTTTATCGAAACCTCCCGGAATTAAACCTACACAGTCGAACGCGCACGCCCGAATGGAAACCGTCAACGAAGTTCCGCCGGAAATAGGTTGGTTTTTGGATAAAGAAAATCGGATGGGTTGTCTGTTGCTCAAGCGGCCGGTGACCAATAACGAGAGTTGTGAAGTAAGTTTCATGCTGTGTACCTACACGGGAAACGTGTGTACGATTACAATAACTGAGGATTTTGTTACAGTACACCAAAGTGAAATCAAAGATGACCAGTTTCGTCGAGAAACCATCCGCGGATGGGAATGAATTGGAAAATTATCTGAGCTTTATCGTTACCGTCGATCGGATTCCAGGTAAGACCGACAAGTTAACTGTCTAACCTGGCCTCGAAAACCATGCATCCCTTACCTTGACTCTAGTTCTGGCATAGTTAAAAACCCATCACTGTACGCTACGACCCTGAATTTCTGCTGATGTTACGAAATTGACAGCTGTTGCTATACTTGTTTGTCGTTCGTTTAGACGTTACTTACAAAGACGTGATGCTTGAAGTATTTTTCGGCAACGGCACCGACTTCTCGCCGATGACGGACAACGACACTATGGATCGATGTGGGAAAACGGAACTTCATCAATGCAGCGACAAGTCCGAGTTCGTATACGGTTTCCAATTGCCGGCCACGAAAAGCCTTACAGAGTATTTTATCCGGGTGTCGTATAGGTCGGGCTGAGTTTCATTTTTTTTTCCTAAATACTTTTTTACCGAAAATTGTTAACGACAACATTTTTTATTGTATCGTCGTTCCGTACAGGTTGAGCAAAGGCAACTTGGACGGTTGCACTCCGTCCATGGTGATGAGCATGTCCTGTCCGAATAACCCTTACGCCAATTTGGCTACTGTCAACGGCAGTCGTTGGACCCCGACCGCGACGTCACCCCAATGGCCCACAGATAAGTTTTCAGTGTCAGACAACGTGGATTCGGTCGCAGTGATCGTCCGATACAAACCGTGGTCTTTGGACCGAATACAGGTGACTAAAATCAAAGTCTTACAGCCGTGTCTTCAGACTTGACTTTTCGGTTTATCAAAAATATTAGGATATGTTATTGGACCGGACACAACAAATTTTATGTTTGCGTTAAACTTTTACTTTCAGTTAGAGATAAGAGATTGGAGATAAATGATAACAGATAAGTGATAAGAGATAACGTAACAATAATTAAATGTTTTTTTTTTATATTAGCAAATTAATTATAGTTTAGTTTCAGTTTAAGACAGTTTATTATTTTCTTGTACTTTTAATTCATATGTTTTTCTTTTTTTTAAAAGATTTAGAAATTCGCAGAAATATAACTTAACATCGATAGCAGTAACAACGTTTTGGAAACCCCAAATAAACTGTACCCATTAAAATAAGTTTTTTTAGAAAATTTGGAGTATAGTAAAATAAGTATTGATTAAAACGGTTATTTCGTTTTGATTATATTTTAAACTGAGGACGAAATCACCAAAAAGAACAAATACATTGATTGGACCCCCAAAGAGTAATTTACATCTCTACAATAATTAGCCATGAATAATTATTGGTCGGTTCAAGACAACTGATAATAGTTCTTAAAGAAAACATCATATTTATTATTTACTTTCTAAAAGAAGCCAATTTTCGTAGTAACAATTTAAATTCAACAACAAAGTATTTTAGTTTACTTTTTTTTTCCTGCTTGTAGGTTAATATTTTTCCATAAACATTAGCAATCATTTTTTCGTTTGGTCTCATTAAAAAAACAAAACGTCTGGCGCGCGTTGTAAAATATTGCGCTTTTATTTTTTAATGTTTTCGAAGAAATCGTTTTGTATTAATTTTTATTATTGGCAAACAAACGAAAAATAAGAATACCGTATTTTTCAGCTTCGGTGCATATTAATACATTTAGTCTTACGTTTTGCATTTTTACGGCGGACATTTTAGTGAACGAAAACTTAAAATATAAAAATGATTTTTTAATTCGGTGTTTTTCTCTCTTTTTTTTTTTAGACAGCTTGCAAACATCCGGCCGGCAAACAAACCGTGGCGCTAATTGAATACAACGTTTCTCTGCACAAAGTTTGTGACAACGCTTGAAAATATAATATTGAAGTATGAATGGACACTTAAACCACCGAAAAGCGTTGCATTTTTTTTTTTTTTTTAGATAATACATGATATACCTACGTTTTTTTGTAAAATTATTTTTTAGATAGAAAAACCAAAAATATTTTTAATAATCTTAATAGATCTAGGCGATAGAATCGAGTTGTTAAATCGATTTTTCCTTTTTTTTCTATTGTACTTAATTTTTTAGTTTTCGAAATTGCTGTGTATATTGTTTGCGTCCTTACAGACTTATTATGTATATTAAGGTTATTATTTTTCGTTGTTATTTATTGTTTTTACAAACCGCAAGTAGACCAAATGTTCAGTTATTTTATTTATATTATATTACAAAAAAAAAAACAATCCTATCCAACACCCGAAGCACGTTTTTCTTCTTATATTTTTTCACATTCAGAGATTTACACATAAATTTACTTGGTAGATGTAAAAATAATACATAGGAAGTTACCCTGAATGCATATTTTTATTTTGTCTTCACTCTATTTACTATTAGATTGATACTAATATTAATTTTATTATTGAACTTATATGATTAAGTGTTCCCAGTGTTGGAATATCATAGAAAATGTAGAAATATAATTAATCGTAACAGTCGAAAAGTATACCATTGTGTTTAGTCTTAGTCAAAGAAAAAATCTTACTGTTTAATATTTTTATTTTTTTGTTGTTGTTTTAAGTCAGTATACTTAAGTCTAGAAATATTTTAGAATTATTACACCATTATCATTTATTGGTTTTTATTTTAAATAAAACATTGTGCCTTGGAGAATAAAATTTAAAAAAAAAACATTATTATTGTTCCACAACAAATCCTTCCTCATCACATAGTATAAAAAAAAAATGATTGTATTGGAAAAAAAGAATTATAATTCTACCCAACATAAATATATTCATTCAATTCACATTTTATATTTTTCCATATTTTGTATTTGTCACGTATCGAGTGAACCCAAAAAAAAAAAAAAAAAAATGGATACAATTGCAAACACAAATAGCAAAGCTCAAAAGTAGTATTTTAAAAATATAAATTTGTGCTGTACGAAAACTAATACAGGGTGATTTCTTATCAACTCTTTTTAGCCACTTAATATTTCACATTATTTTTGTTTTAACCACCTTCCAAACTAATTGTTTTTATGTCAACTTTTGAATCATAAATGGTAACGTATATATTTTATAAATTGTTAAATTAACACAATTTTTTATTAGCACATTCATGTTACAATTATAAAACTATAACAGTCTTTTAAGAGCACGATTATTGGTCGCTAACTAAGTCATTTTTTTTTTAATTAATGAATTTTAGAGTTTAGGTGGGAGATGTTTCAAGCGTTGAGTAGTGCACGTTTGACCTATAAAAAGCTTAGAGTTTGAGAAATAATTACTCCAACCTAGTCGTTGTTTATATTGGAGAGTATTTTTCTATTATTAAATAATTGTTACCTAATTATCCGGTTAATCATTGGGAAAACTTTAAGACAGTAACTCTACTAAGAAAATGTTCGTTAAAAATCTTAAGAGATATCAGCAGCATCACAGTTAACCGCCCTGTACATTTATTTTTCCAATGTGACACAAGTGCTGCGGTTGTAAGCTTGTTGGTAAAACAATAGCTACGCGGTTTTGCTGTGGTCGCGTATTGAACGTATTAAGTTGGAAATTATAGCCGTTTAATATTGTGCCACAAGATGACGTTTCGATGGATGTTGTCTGTGCTGATCGTAGCTGTTGTTATTCCATTGGGTCAAGCTGAAATCTGCGATAGACATAACACACTGGTGCCGGTAGGTAAGACTTCAGCTTTATTTTTGAGAAGGTCCCGTACAATTATCGAATACGACCAATACCGGAAAATCGTGTTCAGCCAAATACTCGACTACGGTTCGCTGATAGCCCGGTTGATGGCAGCCTGCCAGAAGCATGACGTCTTATGGCTGTGGGAGCTTAGCGTCTTGGCCAATTCGGCTACGGAGCAGATGAGGTTCAGAAAAACCGATAATTCGCACTATATTGAACCAGACAGGTTGACACTGTTCGCCAAAGCAACTGCGGCCGTCGAAGCTAGAATCTTAGAGTACCTGAAGGAATCCGACGATGACCATCTGGAGGAGTCTATCCCTTATGAATTCAATCAACAGATTTACATGGATGTGATGGATTTCAACAGAATGGCGAACGCGGTAAGAAACCTGATGACCTCACAAAATTTGATCGTGGACGGTACGGCGGCCGATTGCTACAAACCCGGCAATCTGTTCATGAACCATGCCGGCGGTGATCCGTACAAAATCGAATCGATCCAGGCAACAGACGTGGCCATCGACTGGGGATTCACTTCCCGCAAGTTGACCGAGTCCTACAGGCAGGCTGTGGAGGCGTTTTGGAATAACTGGACCCTCCAGTCTTACCGAGAGCTGAAAAACTACAGGGACTCGTTCGTGTTGGCAGCCCAAGCATCGATTTACGGATACGTCAAGGTGCACGTGACGCTGTTTCAGAGTTATATCGGTTCATTTCAAATGACGAATATGAAAGCCAAGAAAGCGTCTACTGTCTGGTTATATTGGATCAAACCTGGACACTCGTTACGGACCTTCAAGAGCGCCTTGGACCTGGACTTGGATGTCAAGCTGAACGACTTGTGCACATTTTTCGACACTTCGGTTGGAGATCTGACCCCCGACCACGTGAACCGAGCGGCAGCCTACTTGAACACTTTGATCATAACTATCAGGTCCGATTCGGGCAATCAAATCACCGAAAATACTAAAAACCTCATCGAGTTGACCAACAACGTTAATTCGACAAACATTTTGAAAGAAAAAATTATCACAAACGACAGTAAAATGCTATCGTTCATTAACTATCTGCAAATTGGCTTATTTAAACACGTCAAGTTCAAACAAGTAAATTTATTTTTCTATTGTGTGTTTTCTTCTAATGCATATATACGTATGCTCAATTCAGACTAACTGTAAGGCATTCGCACGTCATAAAAATTGAAAAAAAAAAATGTGTGTATTATCGTGTAAATAACTTTGAAATATTTTCCATATAAAATACCAACGTCAATTTTATACTATATTCCTATATCATTTTGAAAAAATAAAAAATAAATTTACAAAATATTATTATGATGTTCATGTTTAATCATTCCAAAATATACTCTAACTACATAATTTCATATTTGTCCCGTTGTACAACGTGATTCCTCAAAACAGAGTGTATTGTCGTTTATATAATATATTGTAGTCTATACAAAACTAAATACTATGACTTCCAAAAACTTCTCTAAATTTTATCACTAGTAATTTTCAATAAAAATATATACAGGCAAAATGTTATACCTTACAAAATAGATGGCTTACCAAAATATTTTCAAGCAAAATCTTTATTAAATTTAATGTTTAAAATATGTTTGTGCTTAAAGTAAACATTTTTGCAGGGTAGTCTTAATGTATGAATGTATAGACTGTAAATTAAGAAGGTCAAATAGCACCACTTACAATTTATTTGCGGTATACCTATTAAATGTAGAACAATGCACTTATGAACTTTCTAACCTTTAGAAATCTGAATATATTTTGTTGAAAATGTCGACCGAGTAATAACTAGTTTTGAGCCGAATTACTTTTGAAAATGTTTAAATGTATCATTTTAAACAAAAAGAAGAGAGGAGTGTAATATTTTTTTTATATTTTCGTATTATTCAACAGTACTAAATTTCTCACCTATATTTTTAAACGCTAAAAGAAATAATTATGGTTAAATGCTAATTTTGTGAGTATTAGTGTTAAATTATAGAAAATTATTGGTTTTTGTCTTTAGTTTATCTAATTATTATATTTTTTTAGTTTTGGTAAATTATACTATAACCAGTGGTAAGAAAAAAATTAATTTATATTGTTCATAATAGAAAATAAAATAAAATAAAAGTTATATACGACCATAAAAATGCTATGAAGTGATAGATTACTACATATAACTCATGCATGTATCTTATAATTAAGGATTTACAAGCATAAATATTGCATGATTTAGAATATCATTAATTTGTTGCATTTTTTTCATATCAATATATAATATTTGCACGTAAAGTATAAATCTTATTGTAAATGAATGGTGTTAGTATAATAAGGAATCGTGATTAGAATAACCTTTGTATTGCTACCGTCACCTGATGGTGATATTAATATTGTCATATTAATTTATAACCAAATTATCAATATAATGCAATTTAAGCGTTATTTACTGACTCTATCATAAATCTAAGCCTGCCAGTCGACTGCCTGCGCAAACAACGGTATTATAATTAAAATGATTTAAGCAATGCAGAAAAATAGGATTAAAAAAAACAAGCCGGCGTAGTAGTATTTATCTTCCTAGTGGAAGATTATAAGTTGAACCGTCTGTACTGGGAAAACATCGTCTGACTTTTGTGCTGTGTATCTATTAAAAGTAAACAAATTTCTCATATACTTAACAGCTAAGTACACGGAATCAACACCATTAGTACCTATGGTGTCGTACTTAAATTTATAATATTTAAATAAAGCAAATGCCGTGATATAATGTGAGGTGGCTGAACACATAATGTGGGAAATTATATCCGTTTAATTGTGCCACAATATGTCGTTTCGATGGAGGTTGTCGGTGCTGATCGTAGTCGTTCTATTCGATCAAACCGAAAATTGCGACAAGCAAAATACACTGGTGCCGGTAGGTAAAATCTCTGTGCTGATTTTGAGGATATCCCGTACACTTGTCGAACGTGAGCGAGACTATGCGCTTACCCAGGTGGCCGACTACGGTTTGCTGATAGCTCGGTTGATGGCTTCCTGTCAAAAGCACAACATCTTATGGCTGTGGGAGCTTAGTATCTTGGCGAATTCGGCCATGGAGCAGATGATGATCAGAGAAACGGATCTCAAGCAGGTCAAGTCGAAACTGTACGCCAAAGCAACTGCGGCCGTCGAAGCTCGAATCCTAGAGTACCTGAAGGAATCCGACGATGACCATATCGAATATGCTCACTTATTCAAACTAGAATGGTTAATACACCTACATTGGACCGTGGTCCGTAAAATGACAGACAAGGTAAGAAACCTGATGGATTCCCAAAATTTGATCGTGGACGGTACGGCGGCCGATTACTACAAACCCGGCAATCTGTTCATGAACAATGCCGGCGGTGATCCGTACAAAATCGAATCGATCCAGGCAACAGACGTGGCCATCGACTGGGGATTCACTTCTCGCAAGTTGACCGAGTCCTACAGGCAGGCTGTGGAGACGTTTTCGAATTGCTGGACCCTTCAGTCGTACCGAGAGCTGAAAAACTACAGGGACTCGTTCGTGTTGGCCGCCAAAGCATCGATTTACGGATACGTCAGGGTGCACGTGGCGCTGTTTCAGAGTTACATCGGTTCATTTCGAATGACGAAAATGAAAGCCAAGAAAGCGTCTAATGTCTCTCTTCGAAAAATGAAAACCAGTTACATCCGTAGGGTGACCCGAAGAAATTCGAAAACAAACTTCAAGGAATCGTCTACCATCTGGTTGTGTTGGATCAAACCTGGACACTCGTTGCGGACCATCATAAGCGCCTTA